CATTACTTTAGAAATTTTCCAGTCAATTCTTAGAAGAGTTGTATTAAAGCCTTTGAAGAAAAACATTTATTGTTTCCTTAAACTCAATCATTAGGATACCATCAGGCCCTCAAGATTTATCCTAAGTACTTCTAGTACCTGTAACACATCTTCCTCTTCTGTTCTGATACTGTTTATAATATAGAATTCGAACCTTCTTCAGCCTGAGACATTTTATTGATATTTTCCTCTTTTAACACCTGAGTAAACATTAAATTATAAATTCATATCCATTTACCTTTCCATTGTCTTGATTTTTTTATTACATTACATTTTATTTCATCCTCGGTTTCTTTTGTTGTTGTAATACTGAAAGAAATGTGAGCCACCATTTTAAAATGGCATTTTAAAATCTCAGAGCTGCTTTAAGAATCAGAAGATGTCCAGCACTCTTCAAAATAATTATTTTTTTTACAAAGTGTTGTAAAGAAGCAAAAAAAAACATTTCAAAATCCTAAACAGAATGAATGATAATTGTGAATTTATCATTTCTAAAAATATAAATAAATGTTTTAGATGTCAGTCTTTGGAGGGTGGCACAGTGGTACAGTGGTTAGCAGTGCTGTCTATAACGTATCTGTTCATACAGTATGTATTTCCCACAGTCCGAAGGCATGCTGGTAGCTTCATTGGCTCCTGGGAAAAAGGTGTGTACGTGTCTTTGCCTTTGTGTCCATCAGCCCCGTGATGGACTGGCGTGCTGTCCAAGGTGTACCCTGCCTGGCATCTGTTGCTTGCCATGTTAGACTCCCCCATGATTCTGAATGGAGGAACCGGTTTGAAAATGGATGTGTGGATGTCAAACCTTTTTGGTAGCTATGAAGACTAGATGTGATCTTGCCACCCCTCTTTCTTAAGAAGACGTCTGTGGAAGAGGAGGATCTGTGATCACCCAGTGACCCATGTTGACATACCTAGATGTATTTTGTAATAATGTTTTTAAAATAACTGCATTTGTAGTTTTAATGAGGCTTTGTATCTGGATAGAAGAAGCCTGCAGTGTTTGGTACTGCAGCCAGCATTTGCTTAGATACAGAGCTAAAAATGGCTTTCTTTAGAAATCACTGTTGTTTAAATGATTGCCCTCGCCTCTTTAGGAGGAAGGCCTCAATTACAACAAATGGTTAGAAAGTCATTTTACATGCAGATACTGACAACAGAGATGACTGAAACAGTGTATGTCTTAGCAGGGGGTTCAAATATGTTAATTTCTCTGTTTGAGAACTGATTTCTGCTGCTGCTACCTCAGTATTGTAGAGTCTGCATTTGATTATAAAAAGAGTGATTGCTTTACATACTGGAACAGTGAGCAAAGGAGCAGTTGGAAATGGAATGAAGCTTACAATAGTGCCTAATAGCATCCACATCCCTTATTAGGAAAAGCAAGTATTTGGAATTAAAACCATTATCTGTTGGAAGACTTAATTGCAGTTCTTTTGAATATTTTACTCTGTGGATTTGTTAAAGTTTTTGAAGTAAAAATAAATCAACACAAAATAAATCCTGTTTATGTTTGGATATGCAATGAACTATTTTGTTGAACATCCATTATTTATTTTCTGTATTTTTTGCTTGGTTATATTAGACATATAAGACTACAGAGTAAAGACAGTCCCACATATTGACTAATACTGTTGACTACATTTGCATTGCCTTTGGAGGTCTCTATATACTGTAGTTCTGAGGCTTCTGTTGTATTTCCAAAGAGCAGAATGTTATAGTAGATTTGATAATAAATTTGACTTTGCTCTTGCACTGTTAGTTAGATTACATTATAACATTTTTAGAGTTTTTTTTTTTATTTGCTTATATTTCATCATGGGTGTGAATAGATTTGGAGGTCACTGTATGACAAGACATTTTTGGCATCTTTGAAAATAATTCTTAGGCTTAATGTTGAGTAATATTAGCATAAACATCATAAAATGACATCAAACGTGTTGGTTTAATTGTGCGTCTGATTTCATCGCACCAAAATCAAAAATCCATATAATGTTTAAACTGGATCACCAAATCAAAAGTGGTATCTGCTGTTAATATTACCTTGTTACTGAAAATGCTGTTCTAAAATGATCAAAATGATTTACAGTAAAAAGATTATTTTGGGGGGTGTCTGAAACAGGTGTTTGAAAATGGAGCAAGTTTCCATAAATTAACTATAACATGTTTTGAAAAATGATTAAAAATAGCTGCATCAAAACAGGAGCAGATTATCATTGTTCAGCAAGCAGTTACCTTATTCTTAGAAGTGGGAGAAATATAATTTCATGCATTATGTATAAAACATTTTTCACACTTCTGTAGTACTGCTTAGCCTAAACCATTATTAATAACGTGACATTTCCTTTCACACATGCAAAGCAGCTGTAAGGATGAGTTGCCCTCTTGATGCGCACTGAGCACTTGTCATAATCAAGTCATTGTCATTCCTCTTCACACATTTGCTGTGCAATAGGTCATCTGTCCTTTCGACTTTGATCTGGAAGCATCAGTTGAAACCACTTTGATTTAAACCATTCATTTGTGTAACCAAACAGAGTTTACACCTTTCTTGAAATGAATAACCTTTTGACAGAAAGGTGATTTTCATTTCAGAAAGAGAATCAAGAGGTCGAGGAAATCTTGAGAGTTTTTGGCTTCACTTCCTTGTTTGGCTTCGTAACCATCTTGTTGCCTGCTCTTGTCCAATGTCGGAAGCAAAGCGAGGCTGAGCCTGGTCAGCCTGGTCAGGAGACCTCCAGGAAAACTAGGTTGTGGCTGTAATTGGTGTATCAGAGGCTGATGTTCCTTCCTCTGGAACAAAGTTTCCAACCAGTGTCCCCATATTGTGACCCGGGACATTTGTGCTGTAGGTTGTCTTATCTTTTCAATGAAGCTTTGCATTGACTACTGGGTCATTAAAGATCCAGTGGTACAGTGCGTAACACTAGGAGTGTTAACCTCAGTGTCCTGAATCAATTCTACTCTGGTTTTGCTCAACTTGGCCTTGCACAATGTGGTCTTTCTACATTTCCTCCTTAATTTAGTCGATAAAGTTTCTCATTTATGATCTGCTATGTATTTGGTAAATGTGGACACAGTGGATCAATTCATTATCATGAGTTGTTTTCTTATCTTATGATGTCTCCAGTGAGACTGGGAGATACTTATAAAATGATCCTTTATCACTACATATAGTCTTAGAATTGCTTATTTCTACACATGTTTGGACAGTAGATTTGTTTAAGATCACCTATACTGATGTCTTGTTACCACATGCATTATTGAAGCAATAGGAGGATGCCGTCCACAAGCAACAGAATTATCAGCATTTCTCCCTACAGATTTATGATTTGTTTAGGTGCCTTATGGAATCCTGTGGTCTGGGCAGGGCTGACTGCCATCTCAAAATTAGTGCGTTCTTATGAGGCACTATGAATTATTGCGATCTACAGATTTCAGTACCAGGCTTTGATTAATTTGTAATTGTTGTTGTTCTTACAGAATTAATAAAACAACAATTCACATGCAGAAATGCAAAGAACACCTTGGATTCCATGTAAAAGAAACAGCATTTTAAATAAATATAACAGTACATTTTATTTATGAGCACTTTTAAGTAGTTTCAAAGTGATGTACAGTGGTATACCTGTATGTATAAAACAGAGGAGTAAAAAGAAAGACTCAGTCAGTAGACCAAATAAGGTAATTACCATATCTGAGCCACAGTGGCTCCTCGAGCCAGAGATTATACTGGTTTTCATTATGTTAAGTGAACATGACATTCTCTCTGGACAGAACACTAGGCCATTTTAGGGATTATGGTCAGCAGTGCTGGTCCTCAGTTCTACAGCTTAGTGAACTGGGATACAGTTCCTCCCTCAAGGTACAATAAAAGGTCTTTAGTTGGGACTGAACCCACAATACACCCATTATGGGGGCAAAAGACCTATCCACTATGCTACGCAGCCTCTTAATAAAACCAACAGTAAAGCAAAAATTTACATTAAAGGCTAAAAGTACAGAGTGTGATGAGGACCTATGCTTGAGATACTGTGTGATGAGTATAAAAAGGAGTTTGATTCGAACTTCTGAGTGAAAAGGTGGCCTTTGTAATTATGAGGACAGCTGCACTGTCCTGCAGTACGTCTTCATTTTCTTAATTTTTCCTCATCTTCTCTGTTCCTAAGCATTAGGTTTCCCTGAAAATTGAGAAAAGACTATCCCATTTTTCTATTATTATAACCACATATAATCAAAGCCGGTTATGAAAATGTGATGTAAATCAGAAATGTGATCTTGGGGTTCCAGATGAGTACAATTCCTTGAAGCTTTGGTTTTGAGGGTTTTGATCATCTGAATGTCTTCCATTGAATTAATGACTTGTAATACACTCAAAGCCAACTATCATACCATATGTAATTTGTAATATGCTGTCAGTGCCTGCTGCTGCTATCCCCCTAGGACAAACCTGGAAATGAGAAATGAATCTCAATGATTTTATTTCTTTTTCAATAGTACATTATAAAGTTTAAGACGTATATATGTAACAGTGTGTAGCATGTGACTTGTAATTTCTAACGCAAAACAGAAGTAATTCTTCTGTTAAGCACAACATCCATCAGGAATTATTTTCAGGATCATTAGTTAGATTATGCAGAGAGAAATTTCTAATGGGTGGGGGAAGAAACAGAGAAAATGCATTCAAAATGTACTGTCTCCCTCCCCAGAGATGGCACAGATTAGAAACTGTAATAGCAAGTGAGAGCACCGGAGCAAGCTGGGCTGTAGCTGAGATCAGTACCAAATGTAGCTTTTCATTAACTGCACGCGCGGCCCTTCTCGTGAATGGGTACTTGTTTTAACTTCTCCTGCTTCAAAAAAAAAAAAAAGAAAAAATTGAACAGACACAATTGTTCCGGTAGTGATGAGGTCCGCACCACCTCATTAATTTTATAAATCCTTTTTGGCTCCTTTTTTAGGTATGAATGCTTTGCAGTTACAGAACCTGGCAACTTTAGCAGCAGCTGCAGCAGCAGCACAAAACTCAGCAGCAACTTCGAATGCAAACCCTCTGTCTACAACCAGTAGTGCCCTTGGAGCACTCGCAAGCCCAGGTAAAACCTGCTCAGAGGGGACCAAATTTGGGGGACGTATGATTTTGTTTATGCATCTCATGTATGCGCCCTATTTTTGAGAACATCCATACTTTTTTTGTGTATTCATTTCCCCTTAAGTCCATTTCACTTTTCATTACGTAATCATATAGTCTTCCCAGAGCAGTCATCGTTCCTTTTCCTTCCGTGTGAAGTTTGGTCAAAGGGAAGCATTATATACATTTGTCTTTTTGTGGAGATTTTTTTTAATGTGTGGCATCACTGTTAGCACCTGCGAGCGTTGGAAAATACCAGTTTTTTTTTCTTTTTGACGGATAGCTATTTTAGGAATTTTAGAATTTGGCAGCTTTACTTACCTTGCTTTACCTTTCTTCCAGATAATCTGAAATAGTTTTCGAATTTCTAGCCATCAATTGCTAACTTTAGGATAAAAGATAAAAACATCGGCCAGACTATTTGGAAATCTCATAAATGGAATAAATATAAAAGTATGCAATATACTGAAAAGAACATGAGCATGTTGCTTTATGGGAATGGTGGCTGTGTGGTGTGTTGGAGCTTAAAAAAAGCAAAATGCTGTTGTTTGAGCAGAGCATGGGTGTTCCCTATGCATGAAGCAACGGAGTACTTGTGGATTGAACCATAGGTGGGAATATGGTGACATGGTAAGATAAGGAGTGGGTTTATCACTGCTGAGGAGGATAGGCTGATCCTAAAAATTCAGCTCTGCTAACTATAGCAGAGATTGTTGAACACGGAAGCTGCAAAGCAGAATCATGCTTCTGTTGAACTACATGTGACTCCAGTAGCTATCTCTCTCAGCAGCCAGTGTTATTAGTCTTCCTGGGAGGTGTAGAGGAAGGAAAAGATAAAGCTAGGAGTAAGTAGCAAAAAACAAAATGGGGAAATGAATCTTGACGATTCATCTTTGCTGTTTATAGGCTGGGTGCACAGTACCTTTGAGGACCTAAAACTGGGTTAGAGTAGAACTGCGATTGCTTGTAATCTCTGTGGGGGTAGAGTACATCTTGTTCTGATCTAGGATTCTTGCTTGCTTTCTTGCCTGTTTTAGGCTGATTAAACAATTCTATTATAGCTTACTGTAGTTGCAATATGTTGTTTTTTATGTCCGTTACTTAGATTATTTCATCATTGTGTGATGGATTGAATATAAACTAAGCATCTTAAATAGTTTTGGATTATAAAGTATGATATCTGTCCTTAGAAACACTCATTAGAGTCTTTTTTGTTGAAAGACGTATCATTGTTGACTGCATTTTAAAATTCATGATTTCTTTTCTTCATGTCTTGCTTAATGACTGAGTGGGTTACAGTGCTTCAGGATTTCCTTAATTTCCAAATCCCACAAATCTATTTTACTGATCTGTCAGTATTTACTAAGGGTTTTTGAGAATACCTTTACAAGCTAATTTCTAGACTTAGAGTGCTTGATTTTTAAATATGTTTTTTTATAGATGAATTGTTTCCACAGTGCACATAAGAGGAAGTGATAATACATTTGGATAAAGATTAATAGTTATTCTTACAATACATTAACGTGAAAGCATAGAATTAAGGTATTTAACTTCTACTGTATATGCATCTTTGTATTACCAGTAGTTTACTTGCTTTGGGAGGTTATTGCATGATAATTATCTGCTATGAACAGTAGTAGTTAATTACTGTAATCGTCAAGAAATATCTTGGCTTGCTTGTCATAACTAATTGGGTAAGTAAAATCCACAGTAAAGAGAGCTCTGCATTTTGTTTAGTGCATGTGGTTTAGAATCGACATCTACTGATTACCTCATTGAAAACGAGATCTGTTCCGAAATTGTTCTGTACTAAAAGGTATGCGGGGGCCATGATTTAACACAGCATGTTCATGCTAGTTGTAATGTCATTGGTATTCTGTATGTGCACTGAATCATCCAGACCAGGGATTACTTTTGTATCAAAACATACTGATCTACTATTTGGAGAATGGGTCAGAATATTCAAGTGACTGGTTATTTCATTCGTTTGTGCTGCAGTTCTGAAACAGACTTCATTTCTGCATCCTCTCGTGCCATGTTTCTATGTGGGTCCTTTTTCTGACACCTCCCCACATTTTTTCTGCCTCGTCTTTCATTTCAGTAGCTGGGACAACTGCAAACTCCAATGCAGGGGCCGCTATGAACTCCCTTACATCCCTGGGAACTCTGCAGGGGCTTGCCGGAGCCACAGTGGGATTAAACAATATTAATGCACTAGCAGGTACCGTTAACAGTGAGTATTCACACATCATGCCGCCTCACCACCCACTGATTCACTTTCATTTGTGAGGAAACTTGTGTAGTTCATTGAGTGCCTGAAGTCATGGCAGATCAGAGTCAGCCCAACTGAGGGCAGAGCCCTTGAGACCCCTGAAAACAAACGTATTTATTCACTTCTCGTTCACTTCTTTTCAATCCATGTTGTTCCTAGCTTTCTCAATTTATACTATCTACAACATATAAATTCTGATGTATGTCCTGCTCACAGGAAAGGAGGTTGAAAGCACCTCAGGAACCAGAGACTATAGTTACATTTCTAGCCCCCTTGCTAAGGACAAGACCCTGAAACTATATTGAACTTTGCAAGGTACAAGAATTTTTCATTTTAAAAGTGCATTTTAAGTATGGTTATCCCACTTGGCATACAAGTTATACAAAATTCTAAGACTGGCCTGTCTTCAAAGTAATGTGAAGGACCTTAAAGGCTTTATAGTAAATATCTGTGTTGGAAGAACTACTAGTTTACTAACCATCCCTTGAATTATGTTTTCAGTAGGGTCTTGTCTCAATCAGGAGAAAAGACATCTGGTAGAGAATAGCAAAGTTGTTAGTTTTTGTGAGTGGTGCAACGTTGAATGATTTTTTCAGTAGTTCCAATCTCCACCATTGCAGTGCAACCTTGAATCTGTGCTGCTGTTCTTTAACTAGGCTTGGTATATGACTTTTCTTAACTGCCTGAGTCACTGGGAATCTCCATAATCCTTCTTTCTCGTCCACTAAATGTCCCGAATGTCCACTAAGAGCTAGGTAGTTCATTGGTAGTAGTTAGTTAGAAGAATTGGATTCGGATTGTATTCATAGTGAGACATTAACATCTTTTAAAAAAGGATTAGTTTTTGTGGGAAATAACTTGGAAGAAAAGCAAGGCTGGATGTGTGCTGGGGTGGAAGACGTCCAAGGAAAAAAAACGTGTTGCTGCTCTGAGTGGTGTTGTTGGACCAGTACACTCCTGCCTCTAAACAAGAATGTCCTAATCAGTCTTCCAGTATAGTAACTGGCGACACTACTAAAGAAGGTGCCGTCCTTCGGATAAGACATTCAGCCAAGGTTCTGTGTACGTGGTCATTAAAGGTGCTACCACGTGGTAAGAACAGGGATGTCAACAAGCATGTCCTGACTGAATTCTAGTCTAACCTTCCCAAAGTTCCATCCGAATTGAATTGGTGAATCAGATTCTCACTATGCTCGGGCTGCTATCGCATGATGGCTGCTGCAAGTCACCCACCTGGGTGATGCACTTCAGTGGTGGATTTAAAAGAATTTCACAGATCTTTTTTTAAGTAGTTTTCACTTTCATATGCATATTACATTTTTCATTCAAAGTGGGCTGCACTGCTTACAGTACTTTCCATTTCTCTGTCTATGATTTATATATAACTTTTATTTATCATCATAGCTACAGTATTCATATATCACACATACTAGCAATCCAGGCATTAGTCTGCATCTGAGCTTCATGTGCCTGTATTCCAGTTGAAAATGATTAATGCAAATTAGTCAAGTTCTTCTGTCAGTATACTTAAGGTTTTAGTGTGTTCATAATGTGTTTTGTCATTCCCATCTGCATGTTACTTTTTACCACTAAAACGATGACAAAAGTTGTTTGCATGTTTTGTGTATAATCAAAGCTTTTTCCATTTTGGTGTATCGATATGCGGTCTTTAATGCCATTGTTTCTTGAGGTTCTACACTACACTGTTAGTGACTCAAAAGTAAAAATCTATGGAACAGGGGCAAATGCATTTATTTTTAAATTTATTTAGTTTCTTTAAACTTAATTCTGCTCCACAGATGAACCCAATAAGTTGTCAGTTTTTGTACTTCCCTACTAAACTTTTTTCATCATACCAGCTTTATCATTGCTGGTAGCAATCTTCTATGAATGGATGGCTGTTGTTCCAGTGTTTAAAATTTAATCTTGATACCCCTTGCTAGAATTTTAAGGATACTCACAATTTAATTAAATACTAAAGGTCAGAGCAGCAATTAGTGATAATAAATTCATGGCCCATACTTTTAGGAACAATTATTATTTATTCAGTCCCTAGTGACAAGACTGTCAAGTGCCTTTCCAGATTATATGTATTACTTTGACTTCACACTAACAGCTGCAGGAATCAATTCTAACCTCATTTCAGGCCACAATTACTTAACAGGGAAAAGCCAAACATCACATTAAAACTAATGGCTTTTTGAAAAAAGTTAATATGCGTAAGAAAATCAATTTAAAAAAGCTTTACGGATAATGATTTTTTCCCCCAAAAAACAAGTATTGTTTTTAAATGTCACACGTGGCCTCAAGGAACAGTTGCAGCGGCTGCGGTCTTGGTGTCTTCTCTCTTGTCAGTTGACAGGCCCGTGACATTAACTGTTTTGTTTGCAGTGAAAAGCTGGTGAAGTGCTGAGTTGCATGGAGTTCTCCATAGCCTCTCTGTTCTGTGTGTCAGTGTGTTTTGGGAAAAGCGCTAATGAATAAGTGCAATTTTCTTTCTTTATTGTTGGGTTTTATGTAAAGTTGCTCAAATGCTCTCAGGTATGGCGGCCCTAAATGGAGGACTTGGTGCCACAGGGTTGACTAATGGAACGGCTGGTACCATGGATGCCCTGAGCCAGGCTTACTCAGGAATTCAGCAGTATGCTGCAGCAGCACTTCCCACATTGTACAGCCAGAGCCTGCTCCAGCAGCAGAGTGCGGCGGGCAGCCAGAAAGAGGGTGAGTGGTTCCGGGGAACGGGGCCAAATCTCAGCGCCAGCGGGGGTCTGGCATTTCCTCAGGTATTCCACAGTCCCAGCCTTTCCCAGATTTCTTTTTGTGGTCAGAAATGTAACAACAGAGCACCATGTATACAGGGGTTTGAAGGATTCTAAAGCATAAGGAAAAACCTAAGCAGAACGCTTTTCTTTTCTGTATTAGGTACTGTGCAGTGCTTGGTATTCACATTAGGGAATGCAGTGTGGTTAATTCCACTTCTTTGAAGGCTTTGACCATATGAAACAGTGGATTATTTGTGTATTTGTAGATTTGGGTTAAGCACCTGGAGGGTTTACTGATTTACTGATTCGTGTGGCCAGCTTTAACACATATTACTAATTTCCAATGGCTGCATAAAGTGGTGTTGTAGGTAAACAAGAAAATGCACATCGGTATGTGGAACGATCGTTTAATATTAAAGGAAACATGCATCAGATGGCTAAGTACATCAGTTGATAAACTGATGCAGCAGTTAAGTTGCAGAATCTTAAAATAAATGTAGGAAAAGATTAAATTATGTATAATAGTTGTACTACAGACATGCTAAGGTCCAGACTAAGTGAATATCTTCTTCCTTGGTTGTTCCCAGGGCCAGAAGGTGCAAACTTGTTCATTTACCACCTTCCCCAGGAGTTTGGAGACCAAGACATCCTGCAGATGTTCATGCCTTTTGGAAATGTTGTCTCTGCTAAAGTCTTCATTGACAAACAGACCAACCTGAGCAAGTGCTTTGGTACGTCACTATGAAGAACTGAAGCGAATAGTTTAACATTTTATGCAACAACATTATTTTTCTGTACGTGGCGAGTTTTTAGGGAAGACCATTTTAATTAGTTCTAGTTTGAAATTTAAAGTCATCCTAATAAAAAATAAAATTAAAATAAAAAATAGATGCAAATGTTACGCAGCTATGGAATGACTTTTAGCTTACAAAAAACAGTAGTCTTAGAACTTGACAGAATCTGTAGTTTTGAAAATGATACATATTCAGTTGTGGAAAATTAAGGCAATGTCTAAGAAAACCAATTTAATTTTAATTTTAATTTGTATGTGTTTTAGATTATTCTAAACATGTTATGTGAACAAACAATAGCACACTACATTCTTTTACCTTATAAGGTATACAGGGATTTAACCTCTGTTCTTTTGGACTCTGGACTACATTATTTTCTTTGTGTCTACTGGAACGTTTTCACAATTCCAACACACTGTTTAGGAAGAATGCTGAAAAGATTAATGCTTTTTTGAGTCCACTAAATTAGGTCAGTATTACTCAGGTTTGTGTTCAGTTTTTCAATGGTGGGGTTGTTCTTCCAAGTTAGTAGCAGAGAATAAATTGCAAATTCATACAAACCAGACAATGTCATTGACAAAATCTTAAATTCTAAGATTTATAATGGAGCACCTCTATCACTATTATTATTAATGGACATTACTGATCAGGAGTGTCCTCTGATCAGTCATTTATGAATGAATTCCAAGAACAGCTTGATTTAATTTCCTTCATATTAAATTGGTCATATTTTGTGTTTTCTGCACTTTGTGTTAAAAGCATGTTGTCTTCTGGGGCTGGCTGCTCTGACAGGACCAAAAAACGGGATCAGATCATGGCCTATTGGATGCTCTGATCTGCTGATCCTATTTTTTTAATCTGATTCTTGAGCAGTATGTGAGGTAACTAAGGGAAAAAATGTGGAATGCCGTGCTCAATACACCCTGATAGTAACGTTTAAAGGAGAAGGGTGAACTGGAGACTGTCACTGTACTCATAGGAAATAAAAATGTTCAAGCCTTACAAAAAAACAATAATAACATAGAGTAATGCATTTTAGGAATTAAAAAGAAGAGACATTTTGAGAATCAGGAAACACTTTTTCCGCACGAGGATTGCTGGCAGGTGTAAGAAGGTGAAGATGATAATGGAATAAAACGTGGCTTCGAGAATTGTTTGTCATGATCTGCAGGCAGATTTGTTTGCATGGTGATGCTGGTTTAAATGCCACCCCTTTCAGCCTTTCACGTCGGTGAAGATTTTTCTTTCTTTTTCCCCCTGTTATGTTTTCCCGGCGCTTGCAGGTTTTGTTAGCTACGACAATCCCGTCTCCGCACAGGCCGCCATCCAGGCCATGAACGGCTTCCAGATCGGCATGAAGCGCCTGAAGGTTCAGCTGAAGCGCTCCAAGAACGACAGCAAACCGTACTGATCTTAGCACTAGACGTTTACAGCTCTTATGTTAGCAGTGCTAGGGTAAGTCCCAAATGAGCCACGCCTGTCTCAGTATGGAGGCTGAGGAGGAAAACTTGCTTGCCAACTTTTCACCCGAGAGAGACAGTTTTTCTTTTTTTTTTTTCTTTTTTACATGAACGCTTCCATTCCCACCATTTCTCATGTGGTTGCAATGACTAGCTGTTTTCAGTAGCTGTTGAGTTGTGTAGTATATTTGATTTTTTTTTATTATTTATTACTTCGTTGAAAAGGTTCGCTTCATTAACCTAAGACTGACGTCTTGAAGATTTCTGGGAAAAAAAAATGTGCAATTTAACTCTTAATTTCTGGTGCCACCTGAAGCCCTTGGAAAGGGAATCAGGCTGCTTCATGGACCCACTCAATATATTCTGCAGGCACCAGTTGATTATGGGTTAATTTTGTTGTGGCCTACCTTGTAGTCAATGCCAACAGAAGCACTAATATGTTATTCTACAGATGTTGTTCCAATGATTTTATTTATTTTAGGAAAAAAAAATATTTTATGAATTAGATAGACTTTACATTACTAGGTCAGATCACATTGGTCTTTGTTGGAACGGGGTATTGTAATGAACACAAAACACCTTAAATCTGTCTAAAGCTAAAGGGTTATGGGGAAAAAAAATAACTGAAAATACTTGATGTTTCTTGAAAGATAAATTCAAAGTAAAGAAAGCCACAGGCCTGTAAATTTTATTTGTAAAAAAAGCAGTTCTATTTTTATACAAAAATTTTTACTGCCTCAGAAAAAAAAACAAATTTATTTATTGCCTAATGTTAATTTATTGGATACCTAAAGAACAGTTCTCATTTACTAGCTAGATCCTTGTGAAGTAGTCTTCTAGAATTAAAAACTCTGTGCCAAGAAAGGACTTTTTTTTCCTCCCCCATCTTCCCATGCTGCTGACCCCCAGATCTGCAGTATTCACGCTTCTTTGTTGTGTGTTACTTGTGTGGTTATTTTTGTTTGTTCTTTCCATAATTAGTTATATTCAGCTGTGTGACTTTTCTCCTATGTTTGTTTGTTTAAAAAACAAAGTAGTTTTCTCCCAAAATACATCCATCACCTGCCACTGATGGATTGCTTTGGGTGTTAAATGTGTGTGTTTTAGAGAGAGAATATTTAAAAAATGCAAATTATAAAATGAACCATAGCTTCTAATAACCTGTGATTTGCATTGTTTTTTCTTGTACCCATGAAAATGATTTTGTTTCTGCTGCATAGACTCTGTGTAACTTTTTACTCTTCCTTGTTTTTTCCCTAGACATCTCCATGCCCGTTAGTTCATCGTTTGCCTAGCATGTCCCTGTGGCGTCCAAAAAACAAAAAAAAGTTTCATCGTCCCGTCATTGTTTCTGATGTCTTTCTGACCTCACATCATAACTTGGTCCTCCTACTGACCTTTGAACCTAGCTTGACCTTTGAACGTGCATGTGACCTCATTTAGCTTTGAATAGTGGGAAGTCAACATGAAAGCATAACTGCATTCATACAAGACTGAAACTTTAGAATCTTAAAAACATCTGGAAAAAAACAACCTGTGGCAAAATGTTTTCTGTTTTATTTTTTATTTTTCCTTCTTTCATCAAAGCAAACTTGAAAGTATTATACAGGGATTGGCATTCTGCCAGGTTGCTGGTACCAATAGCAATATGTGTCCAGGAGCATAGAATGTCGGTTTCTAAGTTAAATAGACTACTTCCAAACAGTTTGAAAAAACTGTCTGATTAATATAGAATCTCTCTTAGAGCTCTGTAATAGTTTTTACATTTTTCAGGCAGTGTAAAGTTTTTTGATAAGGCCATTTTAAGTGGCTCACTTTCTCATTAAAACTATATATAGAACCACTTTTTTCTAGAATAGTTTAAGGAAAAAAGATTTGCCCTGTTTTGGGGGAAAATGCTACCTACTTGTGTCACCTTTTGCTGAACTGATTCACAGTTAGACAATCCGTGGTTAAATGCACATGAAATGACCTATATTTTATACTGTTTAAATGTATAGAGAAAAAGTAACTGTAAACCGTGTTAACGCTGGTGCTTTTTGTGGGTTAAGTTGTGGTATCATCACGAGTCTTAAGGTCTTAAGTGTTTCATGTTTTTAAAGACAAGACTAAAAATCGGTTTACTTGAACAATAGACGAAGCCTTTCATATTTTCTTTCTTTTTTAATGAGTCCTATTTGCTAAATTTCTTGTTGGGTAAAAGTAAAATTACAAAAAAAATTGTGTTGGCTTGTAAAGCATTGATGTCATTATTTTTCTTTCTATTGTGGGAAACGATATAGATGTTTTATTGTTCAGCAAAATGTGATTTTTTTTCTTTTAAAGAGAAACCTAAATCAGTGGAATTTTAGTGCCAAATTCCAAAGGTACTTCCTGCCTAGAGCTTCAGTGTGTTTCTTGTGAAAAAGTTATTTGATAACATGGGTATTTTATTACTTAGTGTTTTGTATGAATCCCTCATATTTAAAAATATAGATTTAAAAAGGTTTGTTAACTTGCTATTCTGTGGTCTTGTTGCCTGAAAATGTTAATGTTTGTTAATTCTCTTTTTGCTTTTTTGTAAGATGTAAAAGTGCCCATGTTTCACTTATTTGAACATCACACACCAGTGCTGTGAAAGCAAACCTCACAATCTTCTTTCCTTTATATGATGTATGAAAACCCCTAATGGTGAAAATCTCTACAGCCTTTCCTTAGTTCTTCCTAAAGTCTATGTTAAAACAGCCCTTCGTATTCATCATTAATACTCTGCCACAGGAGTTTTGTGTTTAGTCACCAGCTACGAAAGGGACAGAGGGCCAAAGCCTTAGCTTTTAACTTTACACCATTTCAGTCTCTACTGGCCTTCTTTTCAACACATAAAGCTGACATTTTTGTTTGTTGTTCAGGATGTTTTATGCTCCCTGTGCGTGTCCCTATAAACCCATTTCTGCTTTTTCTTTGAGACAGCTAGGTCATTTTCCCTCACCTCCAGCCCCAAGAGGGTGAATGTTTAGTAATTTATTGCAGGGTTAAGCTTATCGAATGCCAAGGATGCAGTATTATCAATGCGAAGTTCCAAATTATTCCAGCCTAATTGCCACTGGATTTGTGCTGCAAGCACTGAGGGAAGGGATTTTTTTTTCTGCTGTTGTTTCAGTCAGGAAAATTATGTAGAACAAAGTCTTACGAGTTCTTGAGTGAATACAGTGTTTGGATTTAAACCATTTGGGCAGTTGACATAAAGTTTTAATAAAAACATTGTTTTAGCTAAAACAAATAAAACAAATAAAAGCATTTGCTTGATCACTCTGATATTTAGTCATAGAGGTAAATTTGACAACGAGGAGAGGAACTAGGGAATATGGGTTATGACACCTCCGTGTAGTTACTACTGTCTATTTAGTGTATAACGTATGTGTAGATCTACAGAACCAGCAAATTAATATGCAAAATATATTTTTGGTGTTGGGATTTGTTCTACAGATATTCAAATATGAACGTATAATTTCAGAAATCTGTTTCATTAGTTGCAGGTTTAGCAAAAAAAAATATTGAAATATCCATGGTTTACTAATTTACAGAATAAAAGTAGCATAATGTAAGTAAAGTAGAGACCTCAAAAACAGTATCCTAACCAATTACAGTGTTTTAGATACTTTAAATTGTATAACACTGAAAATAATTCATTTTGTGTTTAATATTTTCACATTAAATTTTGCAGTGCAGTTATACCTGTATTTGCTGCCATTACCAACAGTCACAAAGACTAAGTTTGTCTTTAGGAGCAATATGTTTTAAAAAATGATGCCATCATTTCTAACTCACCACCCGTCTTAAATGAGGGAACTGACCACAAATTCAATTTTTACTCATTTTAGAAGGAAGTGTTCTTTGAAGATGACACACCATGGACATAAATCAGTGCACATTTTAAAATGTTTCTTTAAATAAAAAGATAATTCCCTCTCCTGGGACCAGCTAGCATATGTGTATTCAAATAATTCAGTAGTCCGTCTGCTGCTTAATTGAGGCAGTTATAACGTATTTAACCGCATTAGTAAAAGAACAATAATAGGTGTAACCGACAAACAATATTGTATAAAACTGGTAAATGTATTTATTATGGTAGCTGAATAAATTGGGAACCTACTGTACAATGTGTACTGTACTGTGCAAGCTAAAAATACAATTGGAATATACCTCAACATTGAAACTTTTACATTGTTACTTAAATTTTAATCCTATCTTAAATTTGATTTGATTTGGCAAAATGCAAGCAGTATTGTATATGATCAATATGTATTAGAGCTCCATCGTGCACGTACGTTTTTTTTTTCAGATTAAAGATTTAAATATAAGTGAATGTATCAGGCAACCTCCTTTGACAAAGTGGCTGTCAGTGCTTAAGTGGCACTTTCAGCAGTATGAAAACCTCATTAATTTGTGGAAATGTGACAGAAATCATGAAGAAGATAATTTAATAATGTCTGATGATTCACATGAATTCTTACAATACTGTAAATAAGGGCACATAAAACAATTGTCAAGACCAATCTTTTTTATGTCTTTTAGTTATAAAAATGATAAAAAAGGACACTGACTGTGGGTATGAACTTAATTTCTACAAGTTTAAAAAGTTAAAAGTATGTAAAGGTGCCATATATGTTAATATTGTAAAAACTGCCTGCATAAGGACTATCAGACTTTGGTTTAAGGACTCTAATAAAACTAAACTGGTGTTTGACAGTGAATTTAACATTGTCATTAATACATGCTGATACCTGCCTTCTCATGTAAAGACTTGCTGCACAATTTCTTGTTTAAAGCTTTTAAGGAATCATCTACTTTGAGGACTGCATTTGCACTCTGCACAGATGTGAGTTTAATGTATTTAAAGGAGCTTTGGTACTACGTTTTAATTTTTAGCTGTTGGTAATACTTATTTCCCTTTTGTTACATAAGCAGAACAAATGCACGTATTTCAACAACAGTTTTGCTTACACATGTTGATAGATTTGTTTTTAGCACAACATTTTATCTTTTCAAAACATTCAAACATTTAATGGATATGAGAGTAGTGATGTACTCATTTGACGTTTTTTTTTTTACTCACCATACATAGTTAAGTTTGGTAAAATAAACTGGAATGTGGTAGAGTATGTGTGTATCTAAACATGTGATACCTGTGACCTCATTGTTAAGGGATGTTGTCCTGTTTTTCACTGGTATCCATTGACTTAAAATCTTAAACTTGATAAAAGTCACCTTAAATGTTTTTAGACAAAGAAAACATACTGTATGTGATTGAATATATGGAGCATGTTTAATGTTTAAAAGCACAATACAGAAGTCCTCAAAGAAGAACTGTTGAGCTTTCTCACTTTAGGGGTTGTCATTTCCTGGCTTATTGTAATCTTAAATCATGTCACTGTTTTTTTTAATTATTATCTTAAGTGCTATTTAACAACAAAAAACTGTAGTTTCATTGCATTTTGGCTAATGTCAAATGGAAAAATGTATTTGTGTTTTTCTGTGCTGTAAGAGCTGTTGTCTGTAGATTAATATCATTTTGTTTAGGATTATAAGAATTTTAGTAGTTTTAAGTATTGTCTTGAGAAAAGCCAAAGTTAATGCATTTCAGTGGAAACTGTAAGAACATTTGAGTGTGATTTCTGTTGTTAATGACACATTGGATTCTGTTGTTTGATGGAATTTAAGTCAAAAAAGCAGGCTTTCCTATTTCTACAACTGATTGTACTTATGCATTTTGTACCAGTGGAACTTTTTATACTGGAGATTAAAGGAAAAAATATTGGAAAATTCTCTGGCTTCCTCATGTGAGCCAGATTGTGACTGATTCTGAGTTTGATTTCTGGTTGGCATAACGAAAGTTGGGTTTTGATATAAGATTTTTTAGAAGAACTTTGGCTTGCTTTCCTCTTTCTCTTCTTTTCTTGTTTTGTTTTGATTTCTTTTTGCATATACATAGTAATAGAAGTTTGTCTAAACAAAGCGGTAAGTTTCTCTTTATGTATTGTGCAGTTACATGATAAGATAATTAGGATTAGACGTATTTAGTCACCTTCAGTGGATAAATGTATTAGTTTAACAAAGAGAAAAATAATTAGGGGTTTGCTTTTAGCTGTTTAGATTTTTCTGATTCTCCTGTCCTCATTGTGAACATAACCGTGTAGTTGGAACAGTCAGACTTATTTTTGTAACGTATGTTATTGTGTGATGCAGTTTTTTGCTTCTGTCTCCAATATTAAACCATTTTTCCTAATACTTGTCTCTCTTTTTGCGTGTTGTATTGTTGGTGATTGTCTGACGTTGTAACACATTCACACACTTTGATGTTCCACGTCTCCTGTTTCTATTTGTTGTGTATACAAGTTACAGTCGATTCCATCTCAGTGAATACCAAGACAGATTATATATATCCAGTAAATATACATATATGTGCCCATATGTATATTTCTGTGTGGTCTAAATTATAAAATTCCATATAAGGAAGGATGATCTGGCAGTTATGTTGAATATAGCATATTATAATCTTTACGGCAATCCTGCAGGATCTTCATTGTTAAAAGTCAGTTTTAAACTCCAGAAGTGCTCCAGTGACAGCCCTGTTACAAACTGATTTTAAGAACTTAAACTGATTTCTCTACCAAGAGGAAAACTGGAAACCACATTTAGTCCTCACTTAAGCTTTAACATATACCTATATCTATGGTTAAGACATTAGTAAAGTCAGTAAATTATTGGATTGATAAAAAATACATACATTGCTTTAATTAGCTTTGTTAATACACTTAATCTCTTTAGGTGCCTAAGCCTTTTGTGCACATACATGCAAGGTTGGCAGGCAAAATGGTTGGTTGAAAGAAAAGGCTAACTATTCCTGATAAGTGAATCAATCGCCGTGGCTATCTGGTTATTCACTTATCAGGAATCGACTGTACTGCTGATCAGCCAGTTGCTTCTTCTGTTTCTCATCTCTGTTGTAGTTCACTACTCTTACTGTGTTCTGTTTTCTCCTACATTCCCAATATATATATGAAAAAAGAAAGAAGTTGATGTACATTAATTTCATCTATGAAATTATTTTCATAACCATAAGCTTTAAATAGCCTATTTAGTGTGAAAACTGTTGCAATCTAAATGTGAAATACATTGATTACATATCAAAATTTTCTCCAAAGAATCATTTTCTTACTTTGTATTACATTTCTTCAACCTAACACATTTTAGTCACAACACTTGCTATTTTTAACGTATTAACAAAACGTTGTCATGATCCTGGAGTATCAGCATTTTGTTGTTCATCTTGCTTCTCAAAAAATGTAAAGTTTCAAAGTCTTTGTCACTCTGCCAGCTAACTTTACATTTTCTGTATTCTGAATGTTCATTTCCCTGATTAGGTCCCAATTCTACAAATACTTTTGTTAGGTGAGGTTTTTATGATTTAGATTTTTTTGGTTTTTGTATCTAACAATAGAAACCCAACTGTGCAAGGCCAAAGATATTGCAGTATGTATATTTTGTTGCTTGTTTGCTTATACCTCTCTTATACAGCATAAGGACCGTGCTTGTGATCCATGGCCATCAGGTGTAGTGAAACGGTAGAATGGAACATCCACAAGGTTTCAGTCATAGTGACTTACCCGTTCCGAGTCACAAAAGGCGGTCACAGAGATACTGCCTTCAACACACCTTTCTCCATAGAAAAAAAGGAATTTCCAATTAAATTAAAAGTGACCACAAAAGAATTTGTGGTTTGGGACACATTACATACATTATGGCTTGGGACAACAACAGCAACCACTAATTGTGGGTTATCTAAAACAACGTCTACAATGGCTTTTAAATTATAGAGCGACTAGTTGCTTTCATTATTTTTTACATGATTGATGGTGGCAGGGAGGAGTAACGCAGTTTTATTACAGTAAAGTTACACATAAAGGTCTGTCCAAGTATGGCTTCATCTGAGGCCTTGGCATGAGAAATAAAGGCCCCTCGGCTCCTCCCAACAGGAATTAAAGTTTACAGCTTGACAAATGGTCAGGAATATGGCTAACTGACATACTAAATGTGAAAACAGGCGGAATTGATTCTGGATGATAAATTGATTTACGTTTGCACAAAAAATTATAAAAGCAGGAATGTGTTGCATTTCATAAAATGTTTCATTAATACCTGTTCTGCAAAAATCAAATTTGTATATAACGCAATGCATAATGGTTCATCTCAATTCCCAAAATATCGTCATACGTTATACTAAATATTTACTACATGTTAAAAAACAAATTCGTTTATGCATCTTAAGAGATAGAATGCTCTGAAGAAACAGACCACAGATGAAAGTTCATTCCCAAGTATTTTTGTCAAACTTGGTCCAACACCTCGAGTTCATACATTAAGTAAAAAGACAAATGTTGGAGAAAGTTATATGGGATACAACAATACAAAAGGGTGAAAAAGAAAATCTGCTGTATAAAAAAAGAATTACAATCATTTATATTTTGACTAGATTTTAGAAAATCTGCCAACAGTGTTTTGGTTTAAATGAGTACTCTTAATCCAAAAAAAAATTATATGCATCCATAGTGGTGTGCCAAATTAAAGAAGCTGTCAAACCTGAAGATACTAAGTGCCCAGGCCCATTACTATCAGGAGACTAATGTTACTAGTGTGTTGTGGCTAAGTGTAAATTTATTTGTGATACTATAATTTCAATATGTACTAGATGAAGCATCAGTTTAAATTTCTAATCTGTCCCTGGGAGTTATGTGGACAGTGAAGTGGACTGAAGAGAACTTCAGTGCTGAAATAATAAGATGAGGGGTTTTATTGTAATTTACTGGATTCAGGCTTGTTTTCTAATATGTTAATGTATAGCAACACTGTAAAAGCCAGAAGTGCAGTAGAAATAGAAGCAGGCCAGCATGTGGAAGATCTTGTGTACTTGCACTGTTAACAGTGCCGAGTGTTATCTGTCAAGAACACATTTTATGAGTAATGAATTTGTACCACTTTTGGAAAAGCTGCAGAATGTACAAAATGAGCAAGACAGTAGGAATGCACCAGGATTGAAACTTATCATAGTGTCATGGACATCACAGCATATAAAAATTGTTTTAATTTAAATACAGTAATTCAGGGTATACATTTAGTATATTATTTATACTACATTCTTGATATTGAGCCTTTCATATGAGGAGTCTTAGCATCTTATAAGAATGAATCTGTCAGACTGGGTCTTGGCCTATTTCTGTTATAATTAAAGGTTGTGAATCAGAATACATCAAGCAGCTGAAATTGTGCTCACTGTAACATCAGAGTCACGAACAAAATGTACTTAAGGGAACATTTACAGCCTTGTCCATCAAGTTTCACAATACGAATGTTAATTTAAGTTGACTTAAATTTTCAGTTCTCTGGATTTAATTATTGCCTGATGCTGCAAATTTCATTTTTAAAATGGTACCATTTCAGATTATAATGCACTGCTTTCAGTATTGTAGCACTTTGTAAGTTGCATGACTTTTTTACACAACAGTTTTTAATACCATTTGTTCAAAGTGACCCAGATCCAGCACTGAATATTTATGCACACAATATTTTAAACCCCGTATCGCTAGAAGTAATTTGGAGTAATTGGAATAAAGAACATAAGATAATGAAAATGAGAAATTCACCCCATCATTCTCAATTTAAGACTTTAACTATTCCCAATAGGATATCACAGATAATGGAAAATGCTTTCCTGGCTGAGGCCACATTGATAAGACTGAATGAAGTTCTAGATCAGATTTGAGAAACATTTCACTTGACGTAATTTTGTCAAATGCTCAAATGCAGTGTATTTTTCCTGCTTGTCACTGCAAAAAGAACTGCTAACAATGTGTACAAAGTTTAAGTTTAAAAAAAAAATTCAGGGTTTTTTATGAAGTGATTGTTACAGTTGGTGCAGAATGTAAGGACATAGAAGCTCTTAGGAAACAACTGGAGTTTCTATCTACACACACTGCATAGCACAAGTGACAGTTTAAAAATGCTATAAGGACCAAGTGAAAGCATAAAAACATTATGGGATTATGTTAAAGGAGATGAATTTGTAAAAATAGAAAATGAAATCTGGCCTAAATGGTAATGAAACTACAACAATCATTAAATTGGAATCATGAATTATGAAACACTTTGACTAACATAATAAACATATAAGGCATTTGACCATGCATAATTAAACTCCAATATTATGCTGTAAGCATAAGGCTGATTAATGTTATACTATACATCAATGACCAAAATTTTTTACATTACAAAAGTAGGCCAGAAAATTACATTGGCAAATAGGATATGATAGATATCAGCTACTGGCTGACCGAAATTACTCTGCATTAGCAAATAAGATTATATATCAAACATAATGATCAAAAAGGGACAAAATATATTTTTTCAGATATAGTCTATATGAAATCAGAAATCTGTATTTTCATGAAGCTTCTTAAATGCTACATTCTGATTGGAGGTGCCTTTGGAAGCAATTTTCATGTTGTAAGACATAATAATACCCAATCTATAAATCAAATTTTGATAGCACATGGCATTTAAATCTGCACATTGTGCAGCTATTTTCAATTGCTATAGTGTGTGCTGTCAACTGCTTCCTTCATTCTAAGATCACACTGGATTAATAACAGCTGTGTCCTCCATTACCACCCATTAACAACAACGCAGCAATCACTCACAGAGAGAAAAAAAAGTTCCTAATAAAATTATATCGCGCTTTGTTATAGTAGTTTGACACTGCTTGTTGTAGCTGGTCCCTGGAAAATTGCTTTTGTAGAATCTCTGTCAACCCTGTCATCCAATAAAAGTTTAGTCAGATTTAGGTCTGGGTTAAGGGCTGTCTTTGGCTGTCATTTTGAAAGACATCTGGCCACAAGACACATTTTCAAGACAGGGCACCTCACAACATAATGGAAAATCCTCAACAACAGTCTCTTTCTGCAACATGGATATCATTAAATATTCGCTACGCTGCCTCCAACTTATCATATACCATCGGTCCTGTAAACACAGAAAGATGCTTCACCAGAGAAAACACATTCTGCCATTATCTGTTACACCAACTGCAGTGGAGTATTGCCCAGTGCAGCAGGGTCTGCCAATGATATTGGATTCAGCACGTAGCAACATACAAACAATAGGATCTCAGCTAGGCTGGATAAGGTTCCTGCCATTAATCCAGATTGGTCAAACAATCAAACTGTTGTACAGAG